TTGTTTGGCTGGGAGCCATCTTCATCGCATACCATGTCTTTTCGCTCCTCTTCGCAGGACGTGCCCCGCGAAATGGTTACTCAAAAGCAATTTCACAGTTTGCCTCCGCCAAGCTAAAAGGCGACCCGCAAAGAGCCGCCGCGATTGTCGAAGCATTCCGGTTTTCGTGGGATAAATATGAGCAATTTGCTGCGCCTCATGATACGTTATTGCCGATCAGCAAGACCTATGAGGATGATCGGTAAGTTCACGAACCTTGATTGGTATGTTGATTCACTGATTTATGGTAGAAATGGCTGGGGCGCGACGGCGGTTGATGGGCTGAGTACGGCTATCATCATGGAGGACGCCGAGATCGTGGATAAGATTCTCAGACAGATTATGCTTACAGATTTTACTGTTACTATTGTACCAGACCAGCCTATATCTCTCTTTGAAACAACTATTCGCTATCTCGGAGGCCTTCTATCCGGTATGCATCCAGAGATCTGGCGAGTTGGCTATCCCACTGACCTTGCCTCTAGCTTATGACCTGCTATCTGGCTCATATAAGCACCTGGCCACAGATATCTATCTAAAGAACAACTTGCTCAAAGCAGCTGTTATTCTCGCAGACAGACTCAGCATCGCCTTTGATACACCTTCCGGCATTCCCGACGATGAGATCATCTTCAATCCTCAGCTCCGACGCTTCGGCAACATCGACAACTCCATCACTTGCTTTGGCACACTCGTCCTCGAATGGACCCGACTCAGTGATCTAACTGGTAATCAGACATACGCCAAGCTTGCACAGAGAGCTCAAGATCATCTGATCCACCCCAAGACGAAACAGTCCTTTACACTTCCTGGTTTGATAGGCACATATGTCAAGCTCAAGGACGGGTATTTTGGTGATTATCAGGCTGGTTGGGGAGGTGGCTCGGATAGCTACTATGAGTACCTGATCAAGATGTATGCGTACGATCCAGTCGCTTTTGCCGAGTATGGAGAGAGCTGGATCAAGGCGGCTGAGTCGTCAATGTTGTATTTGGCTTCTTCACCATCGACGAGGCCTGATCTGACGTTCCTGGGAGAGATGCGCGGGGATACCATGATTCCAATTTCTAGCCACCGTAAGTGTCTTACATCGCTGAGTTGACTGCCAGATTGTGCTAACCTCAACAGTGGCAAGCGTTTGCGGCGGCTCACTGATCCTGGGCGGGCTCCTTCTCCGGAACCAAACCTTTGTTGACTTTGGCGTCAAACTCTCTGAATCATACTATGAAGTCTACCGTCAAAGTCCAAGTGGTATCGGGCCCGAACTCTTTCGCTGGGTCGACGACGGCCGCCAACCCCTCGCAAAAGCATCATCCAAACGGCTTCCCGCGCCAAAATGGCAATCCTTCTACGAAAAGAGCGGCTATTACCATACCAACGCAGAATATATTCTCCGACCAGAGACCATCGAAAGTTTGTACTACGCCTACCGCGCCACTGGGGATCGCAAGTACCAAGACTGGGCTTGGGAGGCGTTTGAGGCATTGAACAGAATGTGCAAGGTAGAGGGAGGTTACACAGGTTTGAAGAGTGTTATGAAGACGAAAGATGATAAGACGAGAAAGTTTGTTGACAAGATGGAGAGCTTTTGGTTAGCGGAGACGTTGAAGTATTTGTATTTGATGTTTGCGGAGGATTCGGAGTTGCAGGTTAGGAGTGATGGGAAAATGAAGTATGTGCTTAACACAGAGGCTCATCCGCTACTTGTAAGAGGGAAGTAGTTTAAGATTTAGGAAAGAGAAAAAAATGACCGGTGATTCGATTCTACCTTGGGCATTATTCGTTGACTGCTCGTGTGAAGGTTTCATCTGTTGATACTGTTCCGATCAACAGACCTTGCTAATGACAGCAATGGCAAAAACCTGGGTATGAATAGAACCTCTAGGTATCTTTTTGTAGGTCTAGCCTCACGCTATCGTGCAAATAGATTATCTGAAAGCATCCAGGCGATGTCATAGATGGAAGTGATTAGTTTATTGTAGTGAATCTCACCTACCCTGCAGCTTCGTGTCAATAGTGCTCTAGGAGACAATTGTACGGAGCTACCTAGAGGCAAGTCCACCACGAAAGAAGACGTCTTGGACTATGAAATCATGTCTCATAAGCTTTGCAAACACTGCGACACGTAGTTTGGCTGGCATAAGTGGTGTTCGCCTGAGTAAGACAAAATATCCGCGCCAGTTGAGTAATGCGCCCTTTCAGCTAACATTCCAGACAAATACAAATCTTCACGCGCCACGACACACCAGCAAATATGCATATCGCTATGCATACGTATACAGAACCTTACCCCGACAAAACTGTCCCCAGCATTGCACATGGCGCATCTGGGGTAAACCGCTCGACTCCCGAGGTCACCCCATCTCCCCGCCAAAAACAATCAACCACCTTACTTATCCAGTAATGATCATCAGCGCACATGATGCCTCGTACCCATCTCGAACCCAAAAACTTGCGATTCAGATAATCTTTTATCCACTGCATTTTTTGCGCACGAATAAAGGCTCGGCGTTTATGCGGAGTATAACCTAAAAGCATAGTTTGGGCCGGTGCGTGTAACGAAGCATCTGCAGGGGTCAGTTGGCTACCCCAGAAGGGACGAAAATGGACGATCCGGGGTAATAACTACCGAATGACGTCGAAAAAAAAAGAGTAAACGACCGTGCTACAGTTTGCCAAGAGACAGAATGGGAATGATGATGAGAGGTCCGTGGACTAATTGAGGCAATTGGGGACATTGGGTGGAGATCGTGAGGGAGCCAAGGTTGTCCAGTTTGGAAAGACTTGCGGTGTATATAAAGGACGATAGTATCGCGACCATTGATTTTAGTTGGCATCCCCTACGGCTCTCTCGTCTCTACGCAAGGCCATTGCCATTCTTCGCCATGTTGTCCCGTCTTCAATCCCTCTCCCTAGCCCTCCTCTCCCTCGCCACAGGCATCCACTCCCACGAAGCCCTCTCCTCCCTCAACGTCCGTAACCTCGAAGATATTCGCAGCCACATCACCCTCCCCTCCACTTCAAACGGACACTCCATCACCTGGCGCAGTAGCGATCCCTCCATCATCAGTCACGATGGTCTCGTGAAGCGCCAACCCACCACCTCCGACGTTCTCCTCGTCGCGTCCCTCGAAGTAGACGGCCAATTGCACGAGCGCGAGTTCAACGCCTCTGTTCGTCAGGCCGTTCAGCAAGATCCGTATGAGGCGTATGGGTTCGCGTACTTTACGGGTAATTCGAAGCAGGGGGAGAATATCTACTTTGCGGCTAGCAAAGGCAATAATGCCCTTGATTGGCAGGAGCTTAACGGCGGACAGCCTGTTATTACGTCGAAGCTTGGAACCAAAGGGTTGAGAGATCCTTTTGTTATTCGATCTGTTGAGGGCGATAAGTTTTTCATGATCGCGACGGATTTGTCTATTGGCAGTGGAACCTCTTGGGGCGATGCCGTCCGCAAGGGAAGCTTGTACCTTGAGATTTGGGAGTCTGATGACCTTGTTACGTGGTCTGCGCAACGACACGTCAAGGTTTCTCCCGACAACGCTGGAAATACCTGGGCGCCTGAGGCGTTCTGGGATGATGAGAAGAACTCATACGTTGTCTTCTGGGCCTCGTCGCTGTACAACACAGCTGATCACTCAGACAACTCTTATCACCGCATGCTCTATTCTCTGACCCGCGACTTCGTCACCTTCTCCAAGGCCGAGATCTGGCAGGACAGCAAGACCTCCCGCATCGACACCACTGTCCTCAAGTCCGGTAATTCATTCTATCGGTTTACAAAGGACGAGGCATCAGCTAGCGGCTGCACCGACATTATCCAGGAGAAGTCCTCCAACCTGCTCGCCCCCGTCGACGGATGGACTCTTCAAGCTACTTGCATTGGCAAGAACGCTGGTCTTCAAGCCGTCGAGGGTCCTACTGCTTTTAAGGGTAACGCCGGTGATGCCAATGGCGAGAAGTTTTATCTTTTTGTGGATGAGTATGGTGGTAAGGGCTATGTGCCTCTTGAGACTAGCGATTTGGATAAGCCGAGCTGGAAGGTTTCGGCAAACTATAAGCTTCCTACGAGCCCGAGACACGGAACTGTTATTCCTATTACTAAGAAAGAGCACGAGAAGCTGCTGAGTGCTTTTGCTGCGTAATTTGGATCATAGCGAAGGGGGAATGACAAGATAGACAATCTCTACCATTTTCAATTTGTAGCTTCCATGAGTCTAACCGACTTTGCGGACCGGCTTCCCCGATAGTGAACCATGTTGCCCACCCTGACCATCCACCCTGCGCTAGCTTCACGGATACAAACAAACCATCCGATGATCATCCCAATCGCATCATAATACCCCTCATTCATGAACCTGCATCATACGTAGTATTTCATGGGGTAAATAGCCCATGCCAAGGCTCCCGCAGATCTCTCTAAGAGCTCCAATCACAACCCCCAATTGTCCTGCAAACCCCTCAATCATGCAACTCGCCATCACTATGGATAAATTACGAACTCTCGTGAAATGACCCTGGAGTTTGGAGCATCATGACGGCATTTCACGCGGAAATAATACTTCTCCACCAATACGAATTGCAGGTGTCGATGCATTTCGGCATATTCGGGAGGGCATCCGTCATCGGCAGATCTGGAGCCTGTTTGCAACGATGTATAAGATGCTGGGCTTCACAGCAATTATTTTGCGGCATTGAAAGGGTATGCCGCAAGTATGAAGTTGTCAAACTTCTTCCTCGCAGCCCTTGCGGCTAGCACTCATGCGCAAAATGTTCTCCCTCGTGGCACCCGTCCATCCAACATCCTCGACTCCCGAGCTCTTCTCCAAGACATAGTGACATTCGACGAACACTCCCTCTTCATCCGCGGTGAGCGTGTCACGATCTTCTCCGCCGAGATCCATCCGTTTCGTCTCCCCGTCGCATCGCTGTACCCAGATCTCTTCCAAAAGGTCAAAGCCATGGGTTTCAACATGGTTTCGTTCTATGTTGACTGGGCTCTCCTCGAGGGAAAACCTGGAGAATTCAGATCAGAGGGCGCGCTGGACTTACAGCCGTTTATCGATGCGGCGCATGAGGCAGGGATTTATCTCCTTGCACGACCGGGCCCATATATCAATGCTGAGGTTTCGGGTGGTGGATTTCCTGGATGGTTGCAGAGGGTGAAAGGGCTTTTAAGGACGAATGCGACGGATTATCTAGAGGCGACAGACAAGTAAGTGATAAGCATCCTAGTGCAGACTCAGTGCTGACATCGTGCAGTTATGTTGCCCACGTCGCCAAGATCATCGCAAAAGCTCAAATCACCAACGGCGGACCAGTCATTTTGTATCAACCTGAGAACGAGTACAGCGCAGCTCAAGGAACGCCTTTCCCCAACCATGATTACTTGAAATACGTCAAAGATCAGGTTCGCAAGGCTGGCGTTGTTGTGCCTCTTATCAACAATGATGCTTGGCCAGGAGGTACCGGAGCTCCTGGAACGGGACCTGGCGCTGTCGACATTTATGTGAGTTTGCACGGGGATCGGCATTAATATGTGCTAACCTTGGCAGGGACATGATGGATATCCTGTTGGATTCGACTGCGTGAGTCTTTCCGCCTCGGCGATACTGACGGCGCTGACCAAGTATAGCAAAACCCGTATAATTGGCCCAAGGATGGTCTTCCGACGACGTGGCACGCGGAGCATGAGAAGATCAGCCCCAACACACCGTATTCAATCGTTGAGGTGAGTATGAGTAGCGTCTCGGAGTGAACGGTGATTGACAATTTGTAGTTCCAAGGCGGAGCCTTTGATCCACCAGGTGGCTACGGCTTCAGCAATTGTTACGAACTCACTAACCACGAATTCGCTCGCGTCTTCTACAAGAACAACATCGCCGCTGGCGTCACCATCTTCAATATCTACATGGTAAACCATAACTACCCATTCAGTAGGCCGCGTAAATGGCTAACAGCATAGACCTTCGGCGGCACTAACTGGGGCAACCTTGGCCACTCTGATGGCTATACCTCGTACGACTATGGAGCCGTGAGTAACTCGCCGCACAAAATCCATGGGACACTTCTAATAGGCTTGTAGGCTATCAAGGAAGACAGAACAATCGCTCGTGAAAAGTACTCCGAGATAAAGCTCCAAGGCCAATTCCTCCGCGTCTCACCGAATTACGCCATCGCAGAAGCAAGCAACTTCACAACCACAGAGTACACCGACAACAAGAACATCGCCGTTACGGCACTTACCACCAAAAAGGATGATGCTTTCTACGTCGTCCGCCACGCAGACTATCGCACCACGGACTCAGCATCTTATAAGCTCAAGGTCAAAACCTCCGCGGGGACACTGACTATTCCTCAGCTTGGCGGGTCTTTATCGCTGCATAGACGCGATTCAAAGATCCATGTTGTGGACTATCCCGTTGGCAAGTTTGAGTTGTTGTACAGCACTGCGGAAGTTTTCACGTGGAAGAAGTTTGGGGATAAGACTGTTCTTGTGCTTTACGGTGGTCCGGATGAAGTTCATGAAGTTGCGGTCAAGGGAGAAGAGAAGCTGAAAGTTGTTGAGGGCGATGGGGTCAAGATTGAAAAGAAGAAGGGTGCTGGTGTCTTTCAGTTCAAGACTAGCACGAAGCGTCGTGTTGTGCAGACTGGATCTCTTTACATCTACCTCTTGGGTAAGTCTCGAGTGCTTTACCGATAGATTATGGGAACTAACGGATTGTCAGATCGCAATGCTGCGTACAAGTACTGGGTGCCTTCCATCCCGAGTAAGAAGAGTGGGGAATACGGATCGTCTGCGATGAACCCCGACGCCGTCATCATCAATGGTCCATACCTTGTCCGATCCGTTGCTGTCGAAGGCTCCAAGCTATCGGTGCAAGCGGACTTCAACACCACTACACCAGTTGAGATCGTCGGTGCGCCTAAGGGAACCTCTCGTCTGTCTATCAACGGCAAGGACACTTCTTTTACCAAGTCCAAGCTTGGAAATTGGCTCGTCAACCCAGACATCAAGCTTCCCTCCGTCAAAGTTCCTGATCTGAAGTCGTTGGATTGGCACTACATCGACGGTCTTCCTGAAGTGAAGAAAGACTACGATGATTCAAAGTGGCGGACTGCTGATATCAAAAAGACTTTCAACTCAAAGTGGCCTCTCAACAACTCGGTGTCGCTGTACTCTGGCGACTACGGCTTCAATGCTGGTGCACTGATCTTCCGAGGCCATTTCACTGCATCAGGATCCGAGTCCAAGCTCAAACTCTGGACATTCGGTGGCCGCGCCTATGGAAGTTCAGTCTGGCTCGATGACAAGTTCGTTGGATCCGTCACAGGCGGGGGCAACAACAACAATGACACGTCAACCTACAAACTCCCCAAGACCGAAAAGGGTAAAGAGCACGTCGTCACAGTTATTGTCGACAACATGGGCCTGAATGGAAACTGGGTCCCCGGCGCCGATGAGACGAAGCAGCCCCGTGGAATTCTCGACTGGCACATTACTTCGGACTCTGGCAAGGAGACAAAGGTGTCAAAGTGGAAACTGACGGGCAATCTCGGCGGCGAGAGTTACAAGGACAAGTTCCGCGGTCCCCTCAACGAAGGCGGCTTTTTCTTCGAGCGCCAAGGCTATCATCTCCCATCCCCTCCGCTCTCCTCCTTCAAACCCGGTTCCCCCTTCAAAGGCCTTTCCAAACCTGGCGTGTCATTCTTCACAGCTAAACTCCCCCTTAACCTCCCTTCTTCAACACACGACATTCCTCTATCATTCACTTTCAAGAACAACACGTCCAGCACAGGCGCGTACCGCGCTATCCTCTACGTACATGGTTTCCAGTACGGAAAATACGTCGCAAACGTAGGACCCCAGACAGACTTCCCCGTCCCTGAAGGAATTTTCAACTACAAGGGTGATAACTGGATCGGCATTGCGCTCTGGGCGTTGGAGAAGAGCGCTAACGTGGATGGGCTGAGCTTAACAGCTGGAGTGCCTGTTCAGACCGGTCGAAAGCCTGTGAAGGTGGTTGAGGGGCCGAAGTATTCTAAACGCCGAGATGCTTATTAGTGAAGGGTGCAACGTTTCAATTGGTGGCGCCGTATAAGGTTTCGCTATATTTAGTCTTGTCTCCAGTGGTTGGTTCGGCCCTACGGTATCATCCGTGGACCAATTGAGGCTGCTCTATTCCTGTTGGAGAAAGTGTGTCCTCCCTTGGAGACGGGAGTGATTTGCGTGCCTTGCTGTGAAGGAAATTCGCCAAGGCTTGCGTGGCCTTCGGCTCTGAGATGCCGTGATCTCCACTGTGCCAAGTGATGATTTGCAGTGTGAAGCTCTGTTTCTTCACCCATTTCTCCTCTCAACGATATGTAAACAAGCTCAGTAGATAGCATTTCATCGACATTATGTCTTTTATATAATTCGATTGACTTGTATGTCATTGTAGGGCTATCCTACAGTGAACAGGGTTGCTGCGCCTCGCGGGATGATCGAATCGTGGATACCCCAAGCTTCGGCTGCAACGGCCCTCAGAGTGGAGCCCGGCAGCGACTAAGCGGTCGGAACGTCCGAGCATATGTCACTCTACGTACGTAACGTCTCCTAAATTAAGAAGCCACTTTCTTTCTTGCTTTTCTTTCTTTTTTCTTACATTTTATCATCTCTCTTTGTCCTGCCAAGGGAGAGGTTTGCAGTGACTCACCGTTGTAATGATCTGTTCTTGGTGTCTTCTGCGTCTTGGCTTTCCATGTGATACTTCCGTGCTCCGTATATAACCAGCTTCTCAAGCTTCATTCGTAAGTTCTCAAGCACTTCATTATGTGAACATTCTTAACAGATCAAGAGTCTTTCCTAGATCTCTCACGATGGACGCACCGATCATGATGAAGCAGTACGATGCTGCTCCAAAAGCAGCCCTGCCTCACGATCTTCCCCCGACCGAGCTCTCCGTCCCCGGCCCCAACTCAGTCACCCTCGCAAAGAAGCGATCCCAATGGTCCTGCATCGACGACAACCGCCTCCGAAACAACCTCTTCGCCGCCGTCGGTTTTCTCGAACTCGCCAACGCAGGCGACTTTGCCGCCAACGTATGGAACGATGTCCCCGTCCCCATCTACGCCATCGTCTTCATGGCAATTGGCGGAACTTCTGCCTTTGTCCTCTCAATCTGCGCTTTTTTCGACTCCAGAAAAGCTTGGAGAAATATCAAGTTCTTGCGACAGCAGAAACAGTACCTCGAGACGGAAAAGGAGAATCTACCTGCTGGGACTGATTCGCGGGGTCTTGATGTTTTCATCGAGATCACGACAAGGGAACTACGAATTGAGATAATTAATCGGTGGGCTATGGACTTGCTGATGGGAGGGGGCGCGATGTTGATCAGCATTGGTACATACATGGCTATTGGCGGAGCAAACAGAAAGGTCTGGCATGCGAGTAATATCCTGTCCGGATATCTCGGCAACGCCCCCATCGCGCTATTCGGTCTCATCAGTGCGATTTGGGCGTCCATGGTAGTCTCCAAGATGCGATCCCACGTCACCGTCGCAAAGAAAGAACTTCAAGGCTCGCCATCACTTCCGTTGTTGAAGCAGAGATGTTTCAACGTCCAGCTCTTTTTCACCCTCAACGGCATCGCGAATGTTCTTGGAGGAGTTGGTTCAATGATCACGGCTGAGCGATGGTGGGGTTATTGTATCCTTATTCCTGTCATTGTCACTTCGATCTTTTGCAACGTTTGGTGGCGACACAGAGTTGGATATGATCGGCCTTGCATATCTGCTATACCGCCATTGACCGTTGACAACATCACTGAGGCGCTCGAGTCGACTTCTCAACTGCGACACACGATTCAAGACGGCGCAGGCGTCGATCTTGAGCAGACATTTGGAGAAGAGGTGACTCTGCAGGATGTTCTGGAGTTATTCGTCAAACATGACCTCTTTGAGCAATTCAGTCTGCGATTAGTTGCCAACAAGAAGATTGGCCACTTATTCGTCAAGGCGCAGGAGCTTCGAGTGCAAGTCAGTGTCGCTAGCATCTTGGATTTACCAGAAGAACATCATCCTCTCATTCTGGCAGCAGCAGTGCGATTCTTGAAGAAGCAAGGACCGAGACACTTGTTGCACCGAGAGAGGTTTCTGGTTGAAGTGCTGGGAACCTACCTTCACCAGGAGAAGAAGAGCCGGACTGTGGAAGTCGAAAAGTAGGGCTAGATATTGTGTCCTGTGTATACTTTCTTTTTATTTCTTTGGTACAGGTGCGTCGTGGACTCGATGGCATAGACTTTCCTGGCAGGACTTGCAGGTCAAGCTGGACTTTTAGAACTTTCATAATTTTCAATTGACGTTTTACAATGATTCCTTTCAGGTGTTTACTTGACAGTCAAGCCCCCTTTTTGCTGACGTTTAATGTCCAAGACCATCGCGCATGAACCGAAGACAAACTCCCGATAATTCTCGGCAATCTTCTCAACGCCTTCTTCCAAACCCCATCCCTTCACTTGACAAATCACACGGTACATCTCCTCAAGTTCACTATCCATCCTCTCACCAGCAGTATGGAGATCGCTCTCAACCAGTATCCGATTATCCGGCACTATCTTGATCGCATCTTCCGCCTTCTTCCTCTCTTCATCTGATCGCAGGTTATTGGTCTTTGAGAATGAGAAGAAGATCTTGGCTGGGATGGATGGTTTGAGATACTGTTTGACAGCATCGGATTTACCACTAAATGAGTGAAGACAGATTCGTGGGGGGTATGGCTTTGGGGTTTCCTCTGCCGCTTGTGAATTTGTGCCATTCTTCTCTTCTTTGTCCCTTGAGCGCCGACCTCGAACTTCATGACCCTTCCAGGACTCATTCAAAGCATCATACAAAATTCCATGGACTTGCACCCCATGAACACTAACAGGCCTTCCAAGCTCTCCTGCTAGTCTGAGATGCGCCATGAATACAGCCTTTTGATGTGTAATATTAATGCGATGTTGACTGAGTGGTCTTCTCTGACGACCTCCTGGTGTCCGATCAGGATCAGGCTCTGGCTTGGGATCCGTCCACTGCATAGGCAGTCGGAATGGCTTATCAAGACCAATCTCTCCGATCATGGCGTATGGGTCTTCGATTAATCGTGCTCTAGTCTCCGCGATAAAAGTAGACAGTGCTATCGGTTCTGGGAGATCGTGCCAGAAAGCTGGATCGGTTGGAGCTGGTGAGAGCACTGCCTTGTAGTGCTGCTCTTTCGCAGCCTCGACATCTTCAGATGGGACGTATGTAGGAGTCTCTATTGAATCGTCAAAGAGTTCATGACAGAACCACGGGTGTCTTCCATAGCCTGCGACGACGGTCGTTTTGTCCTCAGTAAAGCACTCCGGACCTTTTACTCCGTGTGCTTTGACAATCGAGGCGATAAGAGGCTGGTCTTGAGTTCGTGTTGCCATAATTGCTACGGCTTGAGATTTCATGGTTGGTAGTTCGGATATCGAGTTTACGCGTTCGCCAATATGATTGTGAGCGTCGAAGACTCCGATGTGCCAAGGAAATGGCTCTACGTGGTTCGGCGATGGCGCTGGTGCCGCGTCTTCTTGGTCGTCGTGCATATACATGGTGACGGTTGCTCTGTCAAACAAACTGGCACTAGATCCTATCAATTTTCGTATCCAGCTGTGTATGCTGAAATTACTCAAAATGCACGACTTTATAGGGCATTATGTGATGAGTCACGCTGAATATGAGTCATCTTGCAAGTCAGCATATAGATGCGATGGTGGATCAAGCCTGTCATCAGCTTTGCACAGCCTCATGCATCCAATCCCGAAAATCTGAGTTGATCTCATCGCATCTGAAGATAGCAAACACTTTGTATAGAAAACTGAAGTTATTTGCTTTCATCTACCTAACAAAAGTTCGTTAGTTCTATATCATTTGCCCTTTAGACGTCGCATGTGACGTTTGGCAATGCTGTAGGCTCTGGAAAGGAGGTTCCAGATCAAGGCAACCCTCACAGCGGGCTCAGTACCAGGTCGACATTATGCTTGCAAAAATGACAAGATAGAGATAGAGCAAGACTTACACAGTTTTACTTCATATAAGAAACGGTTATTGAGTGAAAGGCGCCCTGACCCTCTACCCAGAGTCGCAGAGCAGCAGGATCTTTGGTGCTTACGTCACATGATCTCGCGACGTCAGCCTACTCAGCCATGATCATAATCACCTACGGACTTCGCATTCACTTCGCGGTCCTATGGACTTGGCAAAGCATTCTTATTACCTTCAGTGGACAGGAGTCTATGGACCGCAAGCATGAGGTCTCACATCCGATTGCAGGTTCGCATTCGGGTCACTAAATCTTTTCTGTTTGTCTTCATGTGAGAGTCTTTGGGCCTATTCTCGCTTCTACCCATTCGTAAAGGGCTCTTGCACGGCATTCCGTCTTAGCATTGGAAGTGACCATGACCTACTCTGTATCTCTGTGTGCTCCCTAGGCTCGCTTTCGCTTATTTCTGAATCGTCATCATGCGCAGAATGATTCCCAACTTCAATCTGTAGGACATGATCTTGAGTATATAAGATGCATCAGGTCCTCGTGATTATCTATGTCTATTCAACACTCATCTCATCAGCAGCCCTCAAACTCACAATCCCAACAGCCATATCCCGTATCCTAAAACCTACCTCGCCAGACCGCTACCACCGCAATCATGAAAACTTGGAACAAAGTTTTTCTCAGCATGGGGTTCTTGTCACCCCTCATATACGCCAAAGCATCTTGGCCCATGCCAACGAGAGGCAGCTTTAATATTGAAGACTTCAACTTTGACTCCGGGGAGAGAATCGACTCCCTTAACATCAGCTATCAGACCATCGGCGAGCTCAAAGTCAATCCAGACGGATCCAACAACGCAGTCGTTCTCCTCCATGGCACTACAGGTTCCAGCGCCCAGTTCCTCGTCGAAGAGTTCGCTGGTGCCCTTTTCAACCCAGGCCAGCCTTTAGATGCCAACGAGTACTTCATCATCATGCGCGATGCCATCGGCCATGGAAACTCAAGCAAGCCCAGCAATACTGGCCTTCGCGCCTCTTTTCCGAAGTACCAGTATCCCGACATGATCCGTGCGGACCATCTTCTCATGACTGAGCACTTCAAACTCAACCACACCCGTTTGACGCTTGGTGTCTCCATGGGCGGCATGCACACTTGGATGATGGGCGAAGAGTATCCCGGCTTTTCGGATGCCTTGATGCCTATTTCTTCCTCTCCAGTTGAGATAGCTGGCCATAACCGCCTGTTTCGAAAGTTCATCACTGAGCTTATCACCATTGATCCAGCCTGGAAAGGCGGGGACTATGAGAAGCAACCAGCTGCTGGCCTTGGTGGTGCACTAATGATCCAGCTTGTGCTTCTTTCGTCACCTTCATACTGGCAGCGAGCATTCCCGACTCGTGAAGCCGTCGATAAGTACGTCGACGAGCATATCATCCCTCGCCTTGAAGATTTTGATGCCAATGATCAACTCTATGCTTGGAACGCATCTCAAACCTACAATCCGAAAGCAGGTCTCAAGAAAATCAGAGTTCCTTTGACTGCAGTCAATACTGCCGATGACTTACTGAACCCAATTGAACTTGCGTTGTTGGAAGATGGCGTTGTCAACGACATGACACCTGGGTATGGCCGTGCAGTCACCGTTCCTGCAAGCCATGAGGCCACAGGACACGATAACTACATCATGGCTGATCTTTGGAAGAGTGAACTCGAGAAGCTTTTGGCTCGGTCGAGTGCGTAGGGAGACCTTGCTAAGACGAGCGTTGAATGGGTCACGGGACAAGACAAGGGGAGACCTTCTGATGCAAGCCGTGTAGAGTCTGAGCTGATCTCACATATATTGACTCAAATGAATTCTGTGGCATTTCATACGATAGCTCCATAATATCGATGCGTCAGTGATTCGGGGTTTTGACGTCACGACGATGCGATTGATGAACGTGCTGAGAATGAGATCATGACATCATGAAAGGACCTTGATAGCACCACTGCTATAAATACCATTTCTCTCCCAATATTATATCTGGTCTCATCCTTAATATCAATCGAAAGTATACTTGACTGCAAGTTACCGAATTACAATATGTCTGATTCTAAGAAAGGCGGAGATCTCTTCGACATGGCCAAGGACGGCACATCCAGTCAGTCACTTCCGTGAAATGAGATGCACTCATAGCCCTGACATGAATTCCAGTTCCTGGCGATGCTGGGAAGCAAAACACGATCAAGTCCGTCCCCAACCCTCATCAGCGCGACGGCGAGGCCGCCGGCGGCCTTGGCTCATCCGACCTAGCTGGTGCGGCGGATAACGCTGTACTCTCAGCTTCCGAAGGTCGAGAGTTTGGAGTCGGCGAGGGAATCAGTGCGACGGGCCACGATATTCCTCAATCTGTTACCGGAAAGCCTGGTGGTCGCGGGGGTACACAAGGCAAGGAGGAGATCAGAAGAGATACTGGCGCTTTCGCAAATAGGGAGAATTAATTGACGAGATAATGGCAGATGATAACTATTCTAATCTGTCTCTGCAATCAAGTGAGTTGTATGAATAGTTGCTATTTCTTCTTCCCTAAGCAGATAGGCGTAGTTGATTCAACAGTAAAGTCTTAGCTTCCCGTGATCTACTTGGTAGCAACGGCAACATGAGCCTGAAACATGATCTTATTCCTCCCATCCTCAAGCCTCTCATACCCTTCCGTCTCAGTCAGCGCCTCAACGACTGCATCAACAGCTATATCCCAGTTCTCCTCATCCGACTCAAGCCATCCCACCTTCGAAGTTCCCCCAATAAAGCTCCATATCATAGTCGCAAAACGCCTAAGATCGCCGATGGTAACATGAACATCCTTTTGGAAGAACTTCACTTTCTCCTCTTCAAAGCCTCCTTTGATGATTACATCCCTCAAAAATTCTCTGTCTTCCCATTTGTCCAGTCCCTCTCGTGGCAGAGGTGTACCATCTGGTCGAGTCTTTTTCGCTGCTGCATGGATAGCGGGAATAGTTGGCGTACGAGCCCATGAGTTGAGAATCGCAACACCACCAGGCTTCAAGGTGCGATGCATCTCCTTGATCGCGTCGATGCCGTCATTTGGGAGAACAAACAACAACGCGTTGCCAATGCAATGAGTGAACGTCTCATCGGGGAATTCAAGGTTCGACGCGTCCATCTTGAGAGCCTCGGCAGGCCACTGGCTTTTAGCGTTCTGTCGGTATATTTTCAATACGTCGTCGTTTATGTCGGTGCCTTTGATGGTAATATTGTCTTGCTTCAAACTCATGATAGCTTCGGTACCGGCTCCGAGGCCACATCCAACATCGTGAAAGTTGACTTCGGAATTATCGAACGATCCCACAGAGAATAAAGAAGCAGCAGCGAGTTGTTCCATGCCATCACCGACGATCTCACCATAGAGCTCTGGTGTAGGCTTCAAGGCCTGCTTGGGCGAGAAGGTTCGGTCGGACTCTGGGGCATTCATGGTGTCGCTGATGGCAGGATTTAGGAGTTGCGGACTGAAATGTTAGCTCTTTTCAAGAAATTTGGGGACATGAATTATGGGCAGTAATGGGTCTGACATACAGCCACGTCAAATGTTTCCGCGATGTATCCGCTTACGACATTGCAGAAGCACATAAGTTTCCGGTATCAGGGCGTCTGAGTAAGCAATCCTCCAGTATCAACCCATGACACCTTTTACTTGATCTTGATTAGTACATTTGCGTTTCTATAGAAGTATGCTCCTAGAATTTGAGTTCCAGCTGCAGCTTACGCTCATACTTAATAAGGATATCAACATAAAAAGCCCTTAATATAGTACAATGGCCTGGGAGAAATCTTTATCTGAGGCCTGGTGCAGTCACCCTTAAAAGTAATGATTGATTACGCTGAACCAGGCCTAGTCTAATTTGCGTCTTTATTTCCTGGAGTCTGTATACAACCGGTCGGTAGTCAAGCAATGGCCATATGATCGTGCCCTGGGATTTTAGTCTCTGGCGCTCAACGTAACTTGCATCATGAGATCTGCATTAATGGTAGTACAACAAACCTTTCCTTAACCTTCATATTATAAGACCATAAAGATACTCTTGAAACAAAACAAAACTCAAAGGCCATTACTTCCCATTATCATTTACTACATAATTGGAACAATTAGCCCTAAGTCTTCACTAAGCAAGGCGCTGCTATCGCAGACCAAAGAATACAAGATGGTTACTAAAACCGCACGATAGATAAGGACCCCATCCAATGGGTGATCGGTCTCATCAGGTATCTTCCATGCGTGACACTTATACTCTTCGCCTCCATGAGCGCCAACATCACTTCCATCACCGTCGTCCTCCAGGGGCGTTTTTGTGATTCGCCAAATATCCCAAATTTTCTCGAGACCTTCAGATGTGCTGCGTATGACTTCCTCTGGAGGCTTTGTTCGATATGCCCGCCCAGCTGAATAAAGGCAATTGAAGCAGCCAGGATTCTTAACAGCCTGCAAGAAACAGGTAAGTTTCCCTACCAATCCAGAACGGTTAGATAGTGCTGTTGCATTCTTGGCATGGGGCGCGGCCTCGGAAATAGCCTGTTGCTGAACAGATTCAACTATTTGTCGAATCCCATCCCCAATGATGCTCAGTGTGAGCTTTCTGCAGAGGACTTGGGACTCAATCTGTTTTAACCATGAATCGATAGTTTTCAGTTCCTTCAAGACAATAAATCGAGTCTCGGGTGACAAATTGTAGACGATGTCCTTAGTTGTGTTCTCGTTGAGGCACAACAAAGACGCCTCGTAGACTCCGTTATTCAGTTCAAGCTCGTGAATATCAGGACTAATTGTTGATTTAGCCCATGAATTAGCAGTGTCGGTCACGTGGAGACTGCTATTGGCGACGTTCGTTAGTGGGTAGGGGAAAAGGTCCCAGAGGGCTAGGGACTGTAATCCCCAGGATCGGCTTTGAAGTAAAAGAGTATCAAGACGTTCGCGGAGTCTGGCTTTCTTGTGCGGAAAGATAATTGGGAGGAAACTGTCATCAGGGATATCTGCGATCAATAGGAACAGAGGACCCTGTCTGTAAAAGTCGTGATGGGAGCGCCCCAAATAATCAAGGAAGTTGAGACATGCTGGATTTGGCTCTTCCTTACGATCGAGGCATTTCTGTTGTACACTCTTTGTGAAAGGCTCTTTAACATTCTATCCCCCATCTCATTGAAGGTAAGTAGTTGGCCCGCCTCAATCAATAGGTTGTCTTGATCCTCTCTAGGTGCGACTCCGGGGATTTCCATTTGACCGTGGGCTTGGAAAAATTGTCTGCGAATCTCCCTGCGCGAGATAAGCTGCTCAGAGCGCACTTTCCCATATATCTCGAAGAACCCTATCGTGCCCATCAGTGGATGTTGCCGAAATATAAGATGGAACCAAGCATGGCGAACCCTTGGTAAGCCAGATTCTCGATCAAGGGTTAGACGACCAAATCCTCGCGAGAGAATCAGAGCCAGAGTTGCAACAAATCTTATTGAGCCATATGCTGGGACAGCCGAGAACTCTGAGGGGATGAAATCCGCTCCAGTTAGTTTCACCTGTTTCCAACTTTCGGGATAGTCTAGGGAAAGGTGTGTCAACAAAGCAAGCCATGTGGCAGGAAAGTAATCTTCTTGGTGTTTCCTGAGCACTCCTGACCCTCCATGGGAACGTATTGAGCTCTCGCTTGATCCTTCCAAAAGAGACTCGACCGTAAGAACTGGAGTAGACGATACGGTGCGAAATCTCATCTCTGACCGGTCAAACCTGCGATAATTGTGCCGTGACCACAGACCGATGGCATAAGCTCCAGATTTCGTTCGGCCAGGACCGGCAGTTAAGAAAGCTTGAAAGGCGGTTAAAGCCGCGAAGGCAATGGCAATAACGCCTATGATAGCCGTGAAAATAAATGTCAGAGGATCCCAGTTATATTCACTGTTCTGCTCCTGGATTTCGGTGAGGATACTTGCGACAGTCTGCAACATGCATTCTGTAGTATTGAGCAAGCACTCGGCATTGGCTTTAGACGCCATGGTAATAGAAAATAGTGCAGTGTGAGTCAACAAATCACGGAGAAGGAATTGTTGCAGAAATCAAAGGTGCCTATGAGACTTATGTAGTAGCTTAATTTCACAATCGTTGCCGAAGCCTCATATCCTGCATTGGGCAGCTATGCATCATTGCCTATCAGCTGGGCTCAATGTTATACGACGACTTGCGTTATTGGGTGGGAATCCGATCTTTGCAGGTGCTTTGGCTGCAGATGCCAAGATGGTAACCAGGGTTTTGTTTGCTGGAGGTATCACTCTTTTCTCTTTCCTCAAAAGTTGGGAACATTTTAATGGCGATTCAACGGGCCTCGGGCAAGCCACATATCTATCCACGAAATGATCAGCCAAGCTGAAATCACCCATGTATTCGTCAGTCTGGCGACGCCTAACCATGACGGTTACTTGGAAGTACATGTTGGTTTGGTCACTTTGAAGGTTGGCAAGTCATCCTCGATAAGCAGAATAAGAAGTCACTCCTCAGTAGGGATATACCATACAAACTCATGGAATAGGGTAGGTTCATATTACCCCAGCTTCCCCTCATGTCGTATCTGGATTTTGCTCACGAGGATGTAAGCGGGAATAATTGCGAGGCTATGACGTAGTGGGGTTCTGCCAAGCCTACGTGACAGATCGAGCAGCAATGAAAGGGCGGGCGTAAAAGTGGCAGTATTCCCGGTGACGTCGTTTCTTTGACGATGCCCTCAATTATTTCTCTAATAAGTTACTGCAGAAGCGTTGGGTGATTGCCACAAAGAAGAGTGCGGTTGGCGGTTGCAGCCACTTTATACCCATAAGCTTAATTTAAGGTTACGGTTGAAAGGGCCTGATACAACTTGGCTGCCTGGTTTTTTGACATGAGACAATGCAAGATCGAGTATCACAATAGTCTATGTGGTATTGGCATCCTGGCGAAGATCGTGAATGTCTGAGGGTATCGTGTTGATAATCTGGAGGTCATAGATCAGCGACAATCCGGGGATGATGATCGTGGAGCAACGATGGAGCATTGATGGAGCGAGTGTTTGTCCAATTAGTGGCCAAACACCAACAGAGTCAGATGACAGACCCGATCAACGCCCGTTATTGAGCACTAATGAATTGAATTATGTTGATCAAGATCATCAGGCGTTATTCATTCCATCTCCGCACTTCAACAAACAATAGAGCCAGTCTAAAACCCCGCCATCTCACCAACGCTCTCTCATCAAGATCGGTCCCGAAGAATTCGCACAAGACAAGCCAAGACACAAAGACGTCCGATCGTTCCGTTTAGGCACCCTTATTCCACCGTCGCACCAACCCTCTCAAAACGGCAAAAACGAGCGTCGATGGTCTCACCCTCACAGAGCATTCCACCATTACAGTTTAGCGCATGTCTCGGTGATGTTACACTGCACATACGGCATCCAAGAGCAAGTTTTTCCCAACGGCAGATTAATCAAAGTTTTGTAGCTACGAGCTTCTAGACCTGAGGGATATTTTCTCAACAAAGTCATTCTCAGACCATAAAGCAATAAATCGTTCAGAATGGGAGCGCTAGGACGGAGCTCTGTATTTTTTATTTGGATGCCTGGAGGACATCTCCACTTGGAAGGGCAAGAATATGGATGCCTTGGCAAGTGTCTCCACTACGTCATATGTGCCGCTTATCCGATGACGTTTAGGCAGCCGAATTAATCGGTACGTATCGTGTTTTCTACCCGCAAAATCCCCCAGACCCCAAATTTCAAGGTGTTCAGCGGCTTTTTGCTAGCGCGTGGAGAGGTCGAGATGATTCGCTGGAGCGGAGAGAGCTTCTCCAATTTTCATGAGGGATCTCCATGGGGAAAAAGAGGAGGTGAGGTTGAGATCGTTGTCGTTGATATCGCTCTCATGCGAGAGATAGTAAGACATTGGCAATCGTTCTTTCATGTTGGTGATAATGGTAATCTAATTGTGAGATACTGTGAACAGTGGAATCATCCGTTGGAATGGAAAGTTACCCCGTCAACTCCCGTGTCTAACATCGGAGCATTCAGTGCAACCCCAGACCAGAGAATAAAGAGAGAGCCCCTGGTTCATTCCGAGACAATAACCTTAACGTTTCCACAATTCCCAAGTCCATCTCCAAATTCTGGTGGTCAGATATATCCAAAGGTTGCATGTGGTGGATACGCTTAAACGCCCGCCCACCATCCTCCTCATCCTTAGACTGGCTCACAAGATGGGGATGAACCGGGGATGAGCGATGATCCTATCCAAACTCATCCGCCCCAGGTCTCACCCGCATTCTCAATTGCCAAGTTATTTAACCTACCCTTGGCCTCTGTCCTTTTTCTTGGCTCTTCAGTCCTTCACACTTTCTTCCATCTTCACCATCAAGACTCACTTTCACAATGGATAACAAGGAATTGGGCCCTGATGTCCCTGAGGCGTCTCACAATGAGAAGAATGGTCTTGGCCACGTACCGCCCAGTGCTACAGGCCGTCGTGGTTCGACTGCCGTGAACATCGTTGAGAATCCACTCAAGGTACGCTTGGCGATCTCTTGGCTCATCGCCGAGCCTTCTTAGCCAAATCGCCAAGAAGCTCGGCGATGATGACCCCAACTCAGTTGATCTGATACTCACCCATCACTTCAATTGGTGTATATAATTTGTCTTCAATTAGTGTATGATCTTCGTCTTCAATTACTGACTTTCATGTTTACAGCGCGTCACACCTGAACAAGCAGCCCACGATGCCCGTGTCTTCGCCGAAACCCACGGCATGTCCGAACACGCAGAGCTCTTCTCCCGCGCCGCCCTCGTCGCCCGCGACCAAGAGCAATTCAACATGGTCAAGGAGCTCAAGGAAGATGAGCGTCAAGCCCTGGAGTACGAGCGCGATCATAAATGGCACGGCCCAAAGATGCTCTGGTACTCCATCTCTCTGTGCGCCATTGGCGCTGCGACTCAGGGCTGGGATCAGACTGGTTCCAACGGTGCCAACTTATCGTTTCCCCAGGAATTCGGGCTTGATGAGGAGAATAGTGTTCGTGATCAGTGGATTGTTGGACTGGTCAACTCGATTATCTTCTTGACTGCTGGTTTGATGTAAGTTCACTGACTACAAATCCCTATGCTCGAGTTGGGCTGGAGCAATGCTAACGAGTGCAGTGGCGCTTTCATCGTTGATCCGCTGAACCACTACTTCGGTCGTCGCGGTGAAATTTTCATCACGGCCTGCTGTCTTACCGCAACCCCCATCGCCTCCGGCTTCACTCACTCATGGCAAGAGCTCTTCGCTGTGCGCTTCGTAATGGGCATCGGCATCGGCGCCAAAAACGCCACCGTCCCCATCTACTCCGCCGAGATGGCGCCCGCCCGCGTCCGCGGCGCCCTCGTCATGTTCTGGCAGCTCTGGGTCGTCGTTGGCATCTTCCTCGGTTTCTGCGCCAACGTCATCGTCAAGGACACTGGCAGAATCTCCTGGCGCCTGCAGCTCGGCTCTGCCTTCATTCCCTCGTTCCTCTTGGGTATTGGTATCTTTTTCTGTCCCGAGTCGCCGCGTTGGTTGATGAAGCATGGGAAGCATGCTAAGGGGTTCAGATCGATGCAGAGGCTGAGAGCGCATGATATTATTGCTGCTAGGGACTTTTACTACTCGTGGATTATCTACGAGGAGGAATTGACGGTTGCGAGGGGTGCGGGTTATTTCCAGCGTCTGTGGGATTGCTTTGCTGTGCCTCGCATTAGGCGCGCGAACTATGGTGCTTCTACCGTCATGATTGCGCAGCAGATGTGCGGTATCAACAGTGAGTCATACTCTCTATGTGATGTTTCAAACGCTAACAGTATCAGTCATTTCGTTCTACAGCTCCACCATCTTCCGAAATGCTGGCTATACAGCTGTCCAGGCCTTGTACGCTTCTCTTGGATATGGTGCCATTCAGGTCATCGCCACTATTCCCACTTTGTTCCTCATTGACACCAAGGGACGACGAACTCTCTGCCTTATCGTAAGTAAATAAACCATCACTTATTCTCACACTTGCTAACATTCCATAGACCTTCCCCTTCATGTGTGTCTTCTTGTTGGCCGCCGGTCTATCCCTCCTCAATCACAGCGGTAGCCGTGGCGCCCAGATTGGACCCGTCGTTCTGTAAGTTTCTTGACCCATTCATCACATGTCCACCTGCTAATTTTGTAGCTTCGTTTATCTCTTCACCATCGCCTACTCCCTCGGAGAAGGTCCTGTTGCTTTCCAATACTCTGCCGAAGTATTCCCCACCATCCAGCGTGAGCAGGGTATGGCCTGGGCTGTCTGCATCAACAACACCTTTGGTAAGTCCACAGAATCTCATCAATTGACTGTTACTAACAGATCAACAGCTGGTGTCCTCGGTCTTACATTCCCCCGAATGACCAATGCTATGACCCCCACTGGAGCTTGTACGTTTTATTTCCCCTATTCAATGTCAACATTGACTAACATGGTTCAGTCGGTTTCTATGCCGGACTCAACTTGATTGCTTGGGGCATGATCTTTTGCTTCGTCCGCGAGACCAAGCAACTCACCCTCGAAGAACTTGACCGTAAGTCACCAAAGCCTAATATCGTCAAGCAGTTACTAATGATATATCAGAGGTCTTTTCTGTCCCTACCAAGCAGTTCATCTCTTACGAGACAAGGGTTTGGCTTCCATACTTCTTCAAGCGACACATCCTCCGCAAGAAGAATGTTGTCAAGCCCCCGCCTATTATTGAGCGTGCTGAACTGACCTTCAACTCCGATTAAATGTGTCTATAAGCACACTCTGCCGTAGCGTTGGGCCTAGGTAGTGAGGTGCCGGTGCTGAAATGATTTACTATGATTGACAAGGGTCGGTTGTGAGAAGGTTTCATGATTAGCAGTTTACGAGGTTCATGGAGTATATAGTCAAATGGCATACCCTTGGTACATCTATCATGTTCGATGCGCTTTTGTTCTTTTTGGTGGTTGTTCGCCTTGTTGCAAGTTCAACTACCAGTGAATCCTTTCATACCGAGATAGACCTAGTACTCAACCGTGACCCTATTGCTGCTCACGCCCAGCCTCCAGGAATGTATATAAGTCCAAAGCAAGTTGAACCTAGCGTTTTAAGTGGCGTGCATTGCACCCGAGGACCTCAGCAGCGTCCAAAAGGTGAAGGTTTTGTAAGCGAGACGTCGACTTTGGCCTAGTCACGGTCGCATCTCCACTGAACGAAGAGTCGGAGACTCGAAAGTACATGAAGTTAAAATCACACACGATGTACTATCTGTGGACATCGAAAGAAAGCTTATGTGGCCAGCATATTCTTATGTATCCATCGAGAGAAAAAGTGATTAAACACATAAATTAACAACCAACACGCTATAGTAACTCCTATTTGATTGAATACCTTGCGTCGACACTCAGTAGACATAGACAAACTCATCGTTCTTGGAATCAGTGAGATCCATGAAGGCATTCTGTCCCAAACCATCCTCATCATTATCCTGAGCATTCGCCACATAGTGATGCTCCATACTCAGATCCCTAATCTTGGCAGGCTTTCCATTATTGACCCTCTTCCTCTCCTGCATCTTGTTCAAGAACATAAGATTGACCAACTGCAAAAGGATGACACCAATCAAAGCACCAGTAATACCCATAGTCTTGGTGAGACCAGGCTTATAGTACGGCGCATCCTTGGAGCTGAAGAGCAAGGGCCCGATGATGTTACCAGCTGAAACACCAATGTTGTACAAGGACATGATGACCGACTTCTTGGTGGTACCGGCAATGTTGGAGATCATCCATGATACGATGAGAGGGTTACCGCCGAAGAGGAAGGCGAGCATGTAGTATGCCGCGAGGAGAGGAGCGACGTGATCGCGGTTGAGTTGGTGAAGCATGACTGCGCCTGCGAGGACGGGGAGCATGACGGCGATGAGGAAGATGGACTTGACACGGTATCGGTGTGCGAGGTATGAGGCGGGGAAGATGACGAGGAGTTGCACAGCGCCGAAGGGAATGTTGAGAAGCGATGTAACGCCCTTATCGAAACCGAAGCCACCAACGATGATAGGACCAAAGGTGTTGGTTACAGCGGCAGTGACATTGAGACACAAAGCCATGCTGATGAAGAGCCAAGTCTTTGGTTCAATGAGGGCCTCGAAGGCCTGCTTCCAGATAAAGTTGCGACTTCCAGTACCAGTCTGATTGGCACGCAGACGCTCGATGGTTTGAAGCTTCTCATGCTCGGTCAAGAAGCGCGCAGAAGGAATGTCGTTGTCAAGGACCAGGTACACAACAGGTGCTGTGATAACGGTGATGAGGCCAGCGAAAAGGAAGAGGATGCGCCACGATGCAAGCGAGCCGTTGATCTGGCCCAGACCAAAGGAAAGCGCAGCAGCAAACATATTCGCAAGACCGTTCGTTCCGTACCAACAAGCCACACGCATCGGCTGTTCAGCGCGTCTATACCACTGCGACGTAATGACTGAGAACAGAGGCAGGCACGCAGCCTCAAACAAACCCAGCAAGAAGCGCGTTGCAAGAAGGCCCTGGTAGCTAGTACAAGCGGCCATGCACGTCTGCGCAGCACCCCAGCCAAACACAAGACTAGCCATAAAAATGCGATGAGGAATCTTGACCATCAGCCACGAAGAGAAGGGTAGCCAGACAAGTTGTGCGATGGGCGCCATGGAGGAGACCATGGAGTATTCGTTTCCGCTGAGGTTGGTGTCTTCACGCATGCCCCATACTGCGCCGTAGCCGAGGACGGATTTATCGAGGATCTGGAGGAAGTAGACCCAGACGAGGATGGAGAGGACGTGTTTGTCGGTCTTTCGGCGGAGGCGTTTATTCTAGATGATGAGAGTTAGACGGTTGAGGAGTGAGTTGAGGGAGAGGGGTAACGCACGTCTTCTTCGGTGACTTCAATGTGCTGAGCACCAATCATCTGAGCGACGGCATCGCCATTCTGAGGATGAAGATCTGGCTTCGCGATCTGAGACTCCACGTCTTCGGCGTGTTGTTGAGAGGGAGCATCGTCGCCTTTGAAAGTAGACATTATGTTTTAACTCCGCTAATTGCAATGATGGAGTGATGAAGGGAGGAGGGAATGCAGATCCCAAAGTGAGAAGAAACAATCGCCTTCTTATCCTTTAGCTATTTCACGGCAAGACCGTTAGTGTCAATGACATAGAGTTTAGAGGCTTGTTCCCCCCCACGCGAGTAGAAGCGAGTCTGGGGAAGAGCGAGAATCTGGGGGATTTGTGGACAGCAGCGGGGTTCGTGACGAGCGGTGAAATTCCACATGGTCGATCGCTACTCTCCAAGGGCAAGGAATGGCGAGTCATGGTCGAAACCTTGCTTGTTCGTGTGGTTTGTATTGCCGAGGCCAAGATCAGCCTAGCGGAATGGTTGAGGTCAACGTCATTATTGGCACGTGGGGGTTGACGATGCGGAGAAGATATGGGGAATGTGGCCGGAAGTGTACCGCTGTGTGGTTGACTGTCAACCTGAGGGAATGTGAATGTGCATGGCAAGGAGAATTTCTGTGGGGGAAGATCTGGGCTGTTTGCATCTGATCTGTTTCGGCAATTGGACAGATCCCGAAATTGTTGAGAATTGGATCATTCATTGCAGCGTTGGCGATAGGTTCTGACAGACAAGTAGCAATCAATTCCTGCCCTGTCAAGCGCTGTCGCCTCAGCGGAATTAGTGCCTCTACGCTGAAAACGCCCTAAACCGTTCACAACATCGCTACAGTCAAGCTCCTGACGAACGTCCTGGCAATTGAGCTCACCTATCGGCAATTGACGTGGGGGTCTCGTTCAAAAGCCGCTCCTCATCTTCAGCTGCTAAAGCCGTCTTCCCTTGTGATATATTCTTCTCGTACGATCTAGACCGCGGTGTTATCTCAGATCTCTCTTTGCTCTTCACTGCGACCATTCGGATCTGAGCCTGAGAGCTTTGGCCCGCTTTTAGCCTGGTTGACTGTCGACCCGGCATGGTGCATGTCTCAGATTTCACATGTACAGTAAAGCCTCATGATTCCAGCTCTAGCCACGGGAGATGCGCATAATTGCGGCTTATCAGACGTATTTCTGTTGAGTTCTGGTTTGAGTGGCTTTGCTGGTGTCTGTCCCCTGCAGAAGCTGATGGTTGCGAGATGGATTAATAGCATGTGAAAGCTGTAACGGGTATGTTGCATTGGGGGCACGCATTGTCTGATTGAGAGATTTGATCGTTGATCTTGGAAGAAATCGAACCATCTGGAGCCTGCCTCTAGATACAGCTGAAGATGTTTGACGTGCGTGCGCGAGTTGTTGAGTGAGGTACACAGTCTACCCGAGGAACTGTCGCAATCCAAGACTACCATGATGCACGAAAAGTCTCTTTTTGGTCCATACACTCACACTACCCTCGTTGTTACTTTGGACTATTATCTGTTCAAAGAGAAAACCGATAGCAGCTGTATATGAGCTTAACGATGGTGCAGGGTAGGGAAATGCGAAGTCAGAATTCTCGCTGTCACTTTCTTAGGTCTGGGTAAGTACAGGTTGTTGAAGTTAACCATAGCTTGTAAAGAGAATACAGTGCCAATGAAGACAACAATATCATGATGAGGGGTAAGCTTTATGAATACCGTTCGATTGAAACATAATAATCGTTTCCCTCATAAGTAATATTTGATCCTATAGTTTCAGCATAGGTATTGTAAAATCCAGCAGATGCGTTGAGACAATCCCAGTGGCCAACCCTGAAGTAATATGGCACAATTCAAATCTACAAAATGGGAACTGAATATTTCTCTCGACTTTCTAAAGACCTGATTAGTTTTAAAGCCATGTATGCCTTTGACAGCATTGAGTGAGCTGCCCGGTGGAGCCAAGTACAGGTTAGGGATCAAAGACATCAGCAAGAACAAGGAAATCATGATTGGATAGCCAGTCACCTTCGTTCTACCCCATGTAGCTCCTCGTTCACATACCGCCTAGATCGCATGGCTTAGCAGGAATGTAGCATCTCAATCGGCTTACCCCCACGCTCCAACGCGAGCAGCTAAGCGGCTCCGACCCAAATCTCTGCTAATCTCAAAATGACGACGGACCGACGGCTTTAAACCGTACCTGCGCCCGTCTCAGTAAACCCCCACGTTCTGATCAAGGCTCACTGTCTCCCCCGTGTTTATTGCCCGACATGCTAATCTGCCCAGAATGCCATTGAAGGAGGATTACCCCAGACTCTTCCCCGCAGATGATCATCGTTTAGACACGGATGGAAAGCCGACAGCAGAGTCGGCCCGACGTGGGGGTCACACGAGATGACAAGTTACTGACTTCATGGTTCTATGGGGTTAGATGCAACACTGGTTCGGCGTCTAAATCTGAGGTGTAGCTCGTGGACTGTCATTTGATCAGGGACAATTGAAGTTTTGGGCTACCTACAGCATCACAGACTTTACAAAGTGTCTTGAATCACTTGCAATCATGACGAACATCTTGGAATCTCTGTTTTCATTGAAGGGTCGTAAGGCTGTTGTTACTGGCGGGACGAGAGGCATCGGCCAGGCTATGGCCCTATCACTTGCAGAAGCAGGCGCAGATATCATCTTGGTTCAGGTTAGTGTCCTGTGTTGCTGTGACCTGCCAAGCTAACTGAAACCATTAAGAGAGACGAAAGAAACACCGAGTCAAAGGCCTTAATCGAGAAACTTGGCCGACAGGCTTTCGTATACACCGCGGACCTCAGCAATCAAGAACAGGTAGAGAATCTCAGTAAACGCATCCTCGCCGATGGTCACGACGTCAGCATCTTAATTACCTGCGCCGGCATCCAACGACGACACCCAGCACATCAATTCCCCATGAGCGACTGGGACGAAGTCCTCCAAGTCAACCTCCGCACAGTCTGGACCTTATGCCGCGACCTAGGCGCATACATGCTGACCCGCAAACCCGACGCAAGCGGCCATCGCGGAAGCATCATCAACGTCGCGTCACTCGTCAGTTTCCAAGGCGGCCTCACAGTGCCTGCGTACGCAGCAGCAAAGGGCGGGATCGCGCAGCTTACGAAGGCGTTGAGTAACGAGTGGGCAAGTCAGGGTGTAAATGTGAATGCTGTTGCGCCGGGATATGTTGCTACGGATATGAATGAGGCGCTGATTAATGATGAGAAGAGGGCTGAGAGTATTCTGTCGAGGATTCCGGCGGGGAGATGGGGATGTCCTGAGGACTTTAAGGGCGTTACGGTGTTTTTGGCTGGAAGGGGAAGTTTGTATGTTTCTGGGGAGCTGGTTACTGTTGATGGTGGATGGATGGGACGATAGCTTCTAGGAGCAGAAATTTCCAATATACTCTATGCTCTCCAAGGAATCAATCAATCACTATATAACTACCAACATGTCCATACGTCTCTTTCCCATTCATCTTTGTGTAGAGACACCAAGGCCCTAGAGAAAGATCCCTGGTTCATCAGCATGATTTCATGCTTGAAGAGTCGGGGGGACTTTCTACCACTGACTCGGGGTCAGGCAAGGTTTCTAGGCGTAACGGAGCTAATGCCAGCGTGACCACCTAGCAATGGTGGAAAAACACGGCTTCCTCCGACGCACAGCAAGCAAATGAACCCTGCATCGTGCGGCTCGTTACCCCAGATTTACGTAGTGCTCTAGTTCGTGGGGGTCACAGAACCTGTTTTACGCGTGGGGGTTCCCGGGTCAAATCTGACGATGTCGTGTTAGCCGAGAGAGTTGTCGGCGGGGAAGCCGAGTCATGACGTTAAAAGGTCGGGGAAATTCGTGTCTGGCCAAGTCTCACTCGTAAAAACAAGCATAGCAACACATAGCAACAATGGCCAAGATCACTTCTGTCAAGTACTACCGTGTTAAGCCGCGTTGGCTAATGGTCAAGGTCGTTGATGAGAATGGACAGTATGGATGGGGTGAGGCTACGCTGGAGGGGCATGATCTTGCTGTTGAGGGGTGTTTGGATGAGATGATCCCACGCATCATCGGACAAGAAGCAAAGTAAGCATTGCCATCCTGGAGCGGCAAAATGAACTGTGTCTAACTGACGTGGTAGCGATATCGAAAATATCTGGCAAACCTTCTGGCGTCATGGGTTCTACCGTGGCGGACCAGTCTTTATGTCTGCCATCTCAGGCATTGACATCGCGTTGTGGGATTTGAAAGGTGACTGCAGATACCTACTGTGCTATTGGCAGCCTGAAACTTACAAGAACAGGTCGCAACTTGAAGGTGCCTATCTACGAGCTTCTCGGCGGCAAAGTGCGGAACAAGGTCCAAGTTTACTGCTGGATCGGCGGTGACAGACCATCAGATATTGAGGCAGCCGCGTAAGAAGCAATAACAGCCCCAGTCCCGATTCTAAGCTAACAAGACGTAGAAAGAAGCGCCTTGACCAGGGCCTCACATGCGTCAAAATGAACGCTACCGAAGACCTGGGATGGATTGACTCCCCATCCGCCCTCGACAGCACTGTCGAGCGTCTCAAACAGGTCAAGGCGTTAGGTCTCGACGCAGGCCTCGACTTCCACGGGAGATGTCATAAGGCAATGGCGAAACAGCTCGCTCGAGCTCTTGAGCCTCACAGGCCTCTATTCATCGAGGAGCCTATTCTGGTTGAACATCCTGAAGCTATCAAGAAGCTATCTGACCAGACTGTTATCCCAATTGCGTTCGGTGAGCGTTTATATACACGATGGGATATTAAGCGATTTTTAGAAGACTCAAGCGTGGACATTCTACAGCCCGATATCGCGCATGCAGGCGGTATTTCAGAGACGAAGCGTATAGCCACTATGGCGGAAGCTTATGATGTCGCGATTGCGCCTCATTGTCCACTTGGACCTGTTGCATTCGCTGCTTCAGTTCAAGTAGCGCTGTCATCACCAAACTTTGCCATTTTGGAGATGAGCTTGGGGATGCACTATAACACTGAAGCTGGAGACATTGATCTGTTAACTTATCTCAAGAATCCGGGTGTTTTCGATCTAGAAGGTGGCCATGTCAAGGCCCCGACGGGTTATGGCTTGGGAATCGAGATTGATGAGGAGATGGTGGTTAGGATTGCGAAAGAGACAGAGCCGTGGCAGTGTAAGACGTTCCATGGTCCGGATGGCAGTATTAGAGAGTGGTGAAGCAATAATACATAGAGCAGTTTGAAACATCACTACAATCTGAACGCCTTGTCCCAGCCTGTGATGAATTCTTTCGGTCCCAACGTGTCATCGCTATCTAAGACCTCGTGTCTTTCTCGCTCTACGTTGACATCCCACGAAGGCCAAATCTGGGGTAAACAACCTCCGGGACATACTCGGCAATTCAGGTCGGGATGCTGAACCCCCACGCTCTTGGCGATGGAGGCCCCGGAAATCCTGCGTGAGGGGTCAAACTTAAAACGGAAAAGCATTCGCGAACTTGATGACATTTTCCTTGTATTTACATCTCTGAACCTGCTTTCGTGTATTACCCCGCGTTGAGGACGTACTATGAAGATGAGTGACAAACCATTGGAAGTATTGGTCTATGGCCTTGGAGCGTAGGTTCACTTTGACCATCATCAGACCATGACTGACATTTCCGAGAATTGGCTCGTTTTATGCCTTCATTTTGAGCCGTAGCGAACATGTCCGCTTAACCGTCGTCGCTCGATCGAACTTCGAAGCCGTTTCTGCGAATGGCATCTCGATTGATAGCCAGAACCATGGGAAACACCACGTGAAACCTCACAAGGGTACGTGTCGACTAATATACCCATCAACTCCATCTAACCCTGTGCGTAGTCTTTCGAACAGTTGCTGAAGCAGGCCAAAAGTTCGACTTCATCATCTGCACCAACAAAGCAGTTGACCAACTCAGCACTGCTGCTGACATTGCCCCCGGTGTTGGTGACAACACTTCGATTGTCATCATCCAGAACGGCGTAGGCAACGAGGATGCGTTCCGTGAAAAGTTCCCGAGCGCAACCATCATTTCATGCGTGGTATGTGCCTTTCTTTGACCTGTCATCCTGTTACTAATGGCTGCAGACGTGGGTTGGTGCAAGGCAGCCAGAGCCTGGTTTCATACATCATACGACGTCCGAGGATATGCAAGTTGGGTTGTACCCGAACAAAGCGGGCGACGCATCACGGGATGCCCAGCACCTTGCTCAGTTCGAATCGCTCCTGTCGATTGGCAAGACCATCTTCCAAATCGTGCCAAACATCCAAGTGCAACGATGGGAGAAGGTAGTTTGGAACGCAGCGTGGAACTCACTCACTGCTCTTACACTGATGGACACGCATGCATGGCTCAGCTCTTCAGACCTGTCGACTCCCATGACGAGAAAGCTTATGAAGGAGGTTATCGATGTTGCTAACGCGCTTGGTGTTCCTTTGGAGTATGAACTGATTGATAGGCTTCTGGATAAGATCTTGGCCATGCCGCCTATTGGAAGCAGTATGAGGACGGATTACGAGAATGGCAAGCCAATGGAGGTTGAAGTCATCCTGGGGTATCCTGTCAGGAAGGGAAGAGAGCTTGGTATTGATGTTGCGACTATTGAGACGTTGTATACCATCTTGTTGGCGATCAACAAGCGGCTCATAGGTGCTCAGAACAAATGAGGGTAGTCTTTCAGTAGAGCATAAGGACAGCCCATAGAATGACGAGTGATTCTCCCAATCTTGAAACTTTGTAGAGATAGTCCCCGTATAACACTGATGTAGCTTCCCCTCACATGCCTTTGCACCGCCATATCACGACATCCTCAGCTCATCGGCAAACCACGGCAATGCTTAAATCCGCATTACAACCCCATTTCCCCTCAGATCGTGGGATGTTCTTTTAGTGCCGATTGATGACTCGAGGGAATTCCCCTTTGGGCCATGCTCGCACCGTATCCATGTCGTCGGGCTCCATCTGGGAACCCCCACGCTCTTCTCCTCTCGGGCTTGACCCCGAACCGACAAGTTCGCGGGGTCGCGTGGTCCTTTTTGGTGGCGGAATGGCTGATGACCTCCATTTAATGGAATTATCCGCCGAGTCAGGCTTTTGTTGACTTTCTTCTCTATTTTCCGTGCTTTCGTTACCGTCCCGTTTGTCGTCAAAATGTCAGACTGCAGTGCTCGTCGATCCTCAAAAATGCCCCATCCTAATGATCTCCATCGCTCCACTCAATCAGCCTCAGCACCGCCTGGAGATGCAGCGCAATTACCGCAGGGCCAATGTCGCTATATCCTCACAATACCGGAGCTCAAAGGCCATCGCTGCGGATGCATGGGCTTTCACCACAACACATCCCTCCCTGGCGCGACATGTTACTGTGGCCATTTCTCTTGCTTCCATTCATCAACATCTCTAAAAACAAGCGAGGACATTACAGCGCTCAAGAGACGAGTACGAGAGCTCGAAGCGCAATTGCAGCAAAAAGGGACCTACCAACTGGAGAATCTCGTCGGTCGCATTAGTGATTTGGAAGAGACGGTGGAGGGAAACCAAGAAGAGGCAGCAAACCAGCTAAAGGCTTCGTATCAGAACAGTTCGGCTGCTTGGCAGGTGATAGAAGCACTGCAGGAGCGGATCAAAAGTTTGGAGAATTATTGTCAATTATATTGTGAGCAAATGATTGCGACAAGGAAAGAAGTCAAGGAATTGTATAATCGACAATTGGAGATGATGGATGGCGAGGAAAGTTTGGAAGAGAGGATAAAGACCTTGGAAGATCCGGGGAACTTACTACCGTTGTTCCAGACGGGGCAAATTGGCTCTGTTAGTATGGATACCAGGTAGGTATAGACTGTGTAGCATCGATACAGATAGGAGAGGTTGATAAGCGGTCAATCCATCGGTTACAATAATATTAATCCAAAGAACATAAATATCTAACTTGAATTCGATTCATTCTCACTCATACTCCACGTTAGTGGGCTCCCTTGTCTTACCGCTACGATCCAAAAAAACACTTCTTACTGCAGATGACAGATGTAAAAAAGAATCACGTACTAAATTCAGGTTATGGGTTTTCTAGATGATTCCTTTGGTTGGGTTTACTGAAGGCTCCTTACTTCAGCCTTCTGCTGCTAATTGTGCTTGACTTCTGAGGGATCTTTTGACGGAGTGATATGTGGTGAGGTTGTCTTATGTTATGTCGCGAGTATGATAAGTATCAAGATATGATTCGAGGCAAATTTATCTCCGCTACACAGTAGCCTGTTTCCAGTCACTTCTGGGACAACTAAAATAATTCTCTCATTTGCCTCTCTTCGGTAGCTATAGAGAAGTACAACTATTGTGCTACTCCCAACTCCTGATAGCACCGAGTCCCATGATGTGATCCAAGCTACTTGAGACCTACTAGCCCCAAAAGTGCTACTTCAAGAAATCATCTTCTCAATCAGCATCTTCAATCACTTGTCAGGGCAGCGACTATCTGAGCATGTCCTGATCCTAACTGTGACCAATATCTTTTTCCCGTTTTCACCTGTCTGCCAAACACTTGCAAAAGTGCAGCTGTCCAATGGTGCCGCGAATTCTGCCGATGCGGAGTCGACGGGCTTATCCGCGCAGTTATGCCTAGGGCATTAGCTGGTAAGTGTTGAAGAAGGGTATATATCCCGGAAGGACTGACATCTTCTTTGAAGGTCCGAATAGATAGAGCTTGTTTTATGTTGTAGCGGCTAGTGATTCTGTGGGTTGTTGCTGATGAGCACCCCGCAGTGATAAACGGGGCAGAAGCGCGGCTTATATATTCGTCAGCTAGCCACGCCATGTCGGTGGTCAGTAAACACGCGCTCCAGTCGGATAGAAATGCAACTCATGCTGGTTCTGGTAATGCGTGTTCATGTGAGAAAACATACAGGGATTAAATCCACCTCACATATCCACAAGGTCGTACTGGGTTATCATTGAGGAATGCCGTGGCCGAAGTTGGCAAGACGGAGGCCCTCCAAGTCAGAGATAGGGTGGTCAGGGATTGAGGGAGTGGATGTTAGTGTGCCAGACAAGAGGGAAATGCATGAGGTTTGATAAGACTACGCCTCGACAAGTGTAAGTTGCATTTCCCACTTCTGTTCTAATCCAGCATTTCCACAGCCTTGTTTCGACTACTCTACCCTATTGGTTCCCTCAAGCGACTCGCGTTACACGAAACTCGGGTCAGGTGGCTAAGACATCAACCCATAATTGGCTGCCCAATATCAGGCTCTTAATGAGGCTCTGCTACCCAAGGCCCAATTTTTCCAGGGGTTTCCCCCCTCCCCGCATCCTGATGGCGATGCAACTTTCTTCCCCTCTCGCACCATTTATTTCGACAATCTCTGCGCCAGTCAAATAATAGCTGGTATCTGATACACTCTGATATCCCAGACCTCACACCAACCAGCACGCGGAATCTCATAATTCAACTAGCCAAGATCGGTCGGCCGATTACGCATATAATGAACTACTGCAAAAGTTCCCTCAAACCCTTTTCCGCACATGAGGTCTGGAAATCAGGTGAGGGTGACGACTCAAGCTCTCTCGTTTTCTCACACACAAGCATTGTTGCGGTGCAAAACGACGAAATATACCAAGGGACCAGTAAATCCAAGCCAAAAGATATTGATGAAGCTAGCATCATCAAAGAGCTCTCTCCAGTCCCCCGAGAGGATGTCTTCCCGCCGTGTCCTTCTAATCTCACTCGTGCGCCCGAAATCTATATCAAAATCCCAGATATTGCACTCTACGCCCCAGACGCCAAAGATATCATCCCTCAACGCCTATTGCACGAGGCAAAAATCTACGAAATCCTGCGAGAGCACCCCCACCCTAACTTAGGTCAAAGCCTAGGATGCGTCGTTGCGGAAGATGGCCGCCTGGAAGGGCTTGCTCTCTTCAAATACAAAAGAACTCTTTTTGAGCGCGCGCATGATCCCTCATCCTTTGACCTCGGTCAACGCGAGCAGTGTATCGCTGCTGTGAAGTCAGCGTTGGAGCATCTCCACAGCTTGGGACTTGCACACAATGACCTAAGTCCCCTTAACATCATGTTCACAGATAAGGACGAACCTGTGTTGTTGGACTTTGATACTTGTCATCCTATTGGGACTGAGTTGAAGAAAGGTGGGCAAATAGGCGAGTGGCAGGGAATACCACACGCTGTGTATAAGAAATCGTCCACTGAGTGCGACATGAAAGCATTGGAGTATCTGGATATGTGGTTGAAGAGCAAGTATGAAGAAATGAAGGAAAGTGTAACTTTTGGATTACTATAAGTCCTATACTCCCTCCATATGCAGGAAGCATGAGGCTTTGTCTTAATCGATTATAATTTTTTCCAGAAGTAAAGTGACAATTGCTTCCAAAAACTTTTTTTCAGAACTGGCACAGGAACAACCGCAAAGGGGGTGCATGAGTATCAGAGCATCATTCCAGAGGAGGTCAAGGTTGCGATCAGACCATTCGACTAAAGCTCAAGCCAGGTTGAATCAAACTCCGTTTGACGACGTAGAGCCACGGTATTGCAAGAGCCAACCCCTACGTGATACCATGTATTATACAAGACGGACGGCAATTCTGTTGGGTAGCTGATATACTGCCCGGACCGACTTTGATAAGAGTGTTATTTTGAGTTGACAGACCTCACAGCTGATGGGCCACATCACGCGCCTCGCACTTACAAGACGGACGAAATGCTACCCAGCCCAGGGCTCCGCCATTGATAATTTGAATTCACTGTCGCGGAGAAGTAGCAGCCTTGTCACTTCTGCCCACCACTAGATGGCGGTTTTAGTCCTAAAGGGTAGCCATTGATTGGACATTGTGGTATAATGCTTAGTTGTGAGCTAGGTATGTTATTTTTTAGTTGAGACTTGTGGCTGAGAGCTTAAACAGAGAACTTAGTGACTTGAACAATCTTAAATATCTGATCAACGACTTTCTCTTTCAGCCAACACCTCTACACGATCTTTTCATCCATATCCTTTGAGATATTCTCACGAGACCTCTGGCGTCGCCAGCTGAACAGAACATGCGGCTTGGTCTTGATAGTCTCCCTCATCTTCTCCTCACTATTGTCCATCCAAGCATTACCTGACGCAGCACTAACAGGATACAGCGGCGTTCCATTAAGCAAGAAGTGGTCAGCCCCCCGACGATCGAACGAAGCAGTGATGTCAAGGTCGGTGGCAATTTGATCGCAGAAAGTCTCAAGCGGCAGGTCGTTGACATCACGACCAAATGGGTTCTCAATCTCTTGTCCAATGAACAGTAGACCAAAGATGATGTATGCTGCAGTGATGGTAGCTGGGATAGCTATCCAACCAAGAGGACCAGTCAACTGGAACGGCAACAGCATAACATACACAAATGTGATTTGACTGATGGCGATAGTGTATGCGATTGGCAGAGGAGTATTGAGCACTCGATCACAGCCGACTGCTACGTCGTTAAGCATAGTGATGTGATTATACGCGACAGTTTGGTGGATGGCGACGGATAGTTGCTTGTTTGCGACGAGACAGTCGACAGAAATGGCCAGATGGTTGAGTATTTCAAGCGGAAGATTTCCTTGGTGCTCTTCAGCTCTCTTGAGGTGCTTGCGGGGATCACTCTGCGCGAATGAGAGACCTAGATATTCACCAGCCACCTGTTTGAAGTTGGTAACTCTTCGCTTTGGAACGGCTGTTGTACGTCCAGAGAATGTGTCGAGGTGGGCTATGTAGGGTTGCATATCAGGTTGACTCGCACAATGCTCAAAGCGAAGCGTATGTTTCAGTGCAACAGCAAACCCAGCGATAAGCTTTAAGGCCCCCAGCTTCTTGACAAGCAGCTCTCTGGTATCTTGACCATCAGCGCCAGTGTCCGCTGCATGGATCCAGATGATTCGTCCGAGGGTTTGCGAAGCAGTAGCCAACATTCCCCAGTATCGACGACCCTCGGCGTAGCGCTCGTAAGCAGTTGAGGATCGAAATGATAGACTGAGACCGACGACGAAACCGAGGATGGTGAGAAGAACAGAGTTGACGCTGAGATCGTGAACTTTCTTGGAAATGACGGTAATAGCAGTGGACCAGCATGCGACGAGGAAAAGAGGGATGATGAGTGATGGCATGATTGAGCCGTGAAGTTGAAGGATGAGTGGCCATTTGGAATGACCGCGGAGATCGCGGGGACCGCTGAAGTAATTGCTATCACTCATCCCGTCATGTACTGCAGGCGAGGGCGAGGGCAGGCACTCCTGGTTCGGAGGAGTGACGAGGCCAGAGAAGTTCTGTCTGGTCTGGGCCTCTGGGAGTGGCTTCATCTCAACTGGAGTATCTCTACCAGCGTCCGACATGGCGAAAGGAAAGGTCGCAAATACAGCGAGATAATGATACTATGGATGAGAAGAATGGAACATTCAGAAGTGAAGACCTGGCCAGGTCTTATACAAAAGTCGGGTTTCACCATAAACATTGAAGCTTCCCAAAAGGGTTTCATATTTCGAGCTGAACATTTAGTGCTGATGGGACTTCTGATGGTCCGGCATTAGTGCTGAGAATATTGGCAATTGCCAACAAGCTTTGGCATAAGCATTCGCCAAGGCGGTCTGGCCCGCATATAAGCTTGAGAATTGATGCTTAATTTGGTAGTGGTCTGTTTGGAATTAGAGCAGTATCCTGTGACTTGTCGTGTGTTGCTGACTTGGTGTCTTCAGCTTCTAATTTTAGCAAGACTGCCTGAGACCTTTGCTACGAGAGGTTATGCTTTCCTTAATGTTTTATTATTTCTCACTTTAACATAACAACCTTAGCTAACATATTAATGGGACTTCCGCCTGCTTACACAGTTTAAATAATGTTTGTTGATTCGTTATCTGATCGTTAGTATCTGCAGAGTAGCGCGACTTGGATAGTTGGCCTTATCCCGCACGGTCGAATCGATGGTAACTCCCCATCCGCAACATCTGCTACTCAATAGCATGAGCTCGTTAAACTAAACTGTTATCTCTCGATCCGTTGATGCTCTGTTGTCCATTTTGTAGCCCTGCTGCTCCTCTCACTACTGTCAGGTCTACCTTCGGCCGTTTCTGCCCCTCGACACGATCAAGGTGCTTCACCAATACGTTGTACCTTGAACTGGAGTGGCCTCTTGGACTTCAAAGTCAAACTCGGGTTTCTGAATTCCAATTCCTTATCCTCAACACTCTCGATCTTAAAGTCTTTGATCAACCCAACCAACAAGACCTTTATATTGAGCAATGCCAACGCTTTTCCGGGACACATGCGAGGCCCGTTTGAGAATGTCTCCATAGCATATGGGCTCAAGGAATCGTCAGATAGGTGATCCCATCGATCAGGATTGAAAGTCTCTACATCGGGACCCCAGATCTCGGGGTTCAGCTGCGTCATTGCTGGAACGAGCTGAACCGTGGTCCCTTTTGGGATCCTGGCGCCTGCTATTTCGATATCCTCAAGTGCTTCCCATGGGATTATTAGGGTAGGCGAGCACACACGTAGAGCTTCTCGAATGACGTTGTCGAGATATGGAAGTTCGTCTATCGACTTGGCGGTCATATCGTTGTCACTGAGATTAATTATCTCAGCCCTTAATCTTTGCTGTGACTTCTGGTCTTTGGAAAGGGCATAGGTGGTCCAAAGAAGGGCACTGGCCGTAGTTTCGTGCCCCGCCGCGATGACCTGCATAGTCTGCGGTAACAATCAGTGATATACCAATGGAGGTCAGGGCAGTTACGCACGATATCGATCAGCTCATCTTTAGACAACTTCTGGTTCTCAACAGAACTGGCCTCGATCATTCTTGTTAACAAATCATGTGATAATCCACTGTTTGTACCCAACTCCTTTGCCCTTTCGACCTCGGATGTTCGCTGCTCGATTAGTTCTGTCATCATACCCTTGAGAGCAGATTTAGCCTTGATAAACTTCAGGTTTGCGGATGCAGGTAGCCAGCGGAGCGGGATGAAGGGATTGATGAAACTTATGATCTGGCCGGCAAGTGGCTGAGCTAAGATACCGTTGTAGCACTGCTCAAATGACAAAGGCGAGGTCCTTGAGCGAAAGTCTCGAAGTTCTTTACCGACAAGCGAAACACCAATGATGTCAAGCGTCACCCTTGTAAAAAGATCTTCGACTATTACGATATTGTCAGATGATGCAGAGAGACGAATTGACTAAGTGTATACGTACTTTCCAGCACGCCGTCGCTGCTTTGTTGGATCGCAGCATCAATTTCACTGTTCAACTTGTGAGAGTATTTCACAAACGTTGGGAATAGCTTCCGAATGCTTGGGCGAGATAGAGGTCCTATCATAGTAAGTCTTCATGATCATAGCTTGCACAAAAAAGAGGTCTTGCCTGCAGTAATGCGCCTCAACCGCTTATGCTGGTCCCCGACGCTGAACAGCAGACCAACGCCCAGGAACTCCCCAACAAGCGTATGAAAGAATGCCGGTTTCGCGAAACAGCAGGCATTAGTTTGGAGGACCTCACGACACGCCTCTATGTTGTTAACGAGGAGAACCTCCGAGTTGAGCCAGGATAGACATCGTATGAACGGGGCGTTCGGCCAACGCCGCATCCACTGGAGATAGAGCTCATTGGGTCCCGAACCACGGAGTATTCGCAAGGCATGGCCGACTAAGAATTGATGGTTCTTTGCAAGTCAGTATACTGAGGGTCCTAGATGATTGTAGCCTGTGTTGGGCGGGTAGAACTCACCTTTGGCCCTGGAAGATGTCGTAACTGTGAGAAGTATGGTCGGAGTAAGGTCTTGAGGATGAAGTTGAGGCAAACGGCAAAGATAGCCAGAGTTGCCAGTCGTACCAACGAAACGCTCAACGGCCACATGGTTGCACGGCGATGTTCCTAACATCAAAGAAATACAACTTGAGGTTTTGCTTGTTTGTTTTGTGATTACGAGTTTGCACTTCTCGGGCTGACTAATTTCTGACTGCTGATTTACTGCATATCAATGCAACCTGGCGGCCGCCCTGCTGACGATAAGCCCGCTTATGGTAAGTGTTATGATTGGTGGGGACATGCTGTGATGCTTCCAACCGCGGGGCTCTAGTGCTAATGAAACTCGTTAAAAACACTCATTCTTCCTTCAGCACACACTTTCATCGATAGAATTGTCATAATGTCTAATGATATTATAAATCAATTCAATACTGTGTCTAAGTCGGATATCGAAGTCCTCAACCAAGAAATAGACGAAGACGAAGGCCAGTACCGCATTCGGGCCGGAAACCGTATACATTATGTTACAATTCCTGGTTATGCGAGCCCCAAACGAGTTTTTGACAAAGACACACTCTGTAGGCCATATCTTCTCGTTCCAGAACTTCCCCCATTCCCGGATGCAGACTGGACCAAGATGAGACTTTCACTCGGCCCAGATGGCAGTGTTCAGTCAGATATCTCTTTCGAACCACTGGACGAGGTGCAATCTACCTGGCATCCACGACACATTGACGTACTTTCGTTAAAGCGCATTAAATATCACAAGAAGCGCGTTACGGAAGTCGAATATCAGGGGAAGACTGCAATAAGCAAAATTGCCGTTCTGCAGTGGCTCATTCCACAACTTGAGCACGAGACGAGGGTGTACGAATCTTTGACCAAATTGCAAAGCACTGATGAGGCGCGGTTGACCCCCGAGGTTTTGGGACATCTCTTTGAGGGAGGTAGAAACGTCGGGCTTCTTCTGGAAAAGATAGAGGGCGATTATGCGACACTGCCGGATCTACCAAAATGCGAGGCGGCTTTGCGCAAATTGCACAAGCTAGGGTTTGTCCATGGAGACGCCAATCGCTACAGCTTTATCATCGAGAAATCCGCTGGGAACGTCAAGATGATTGATTTTGAGCATGCTGAGCAATACGATGAAGAGAAGGCGAACGCTGAAATTCAGGAACTAGCATCTGAGTTGACAGATGACTCCGGGCGAGGTGCGCCAGTCATTTTTATGTATAATTAGCCTCGAAAGCCTTGGCTGCCTCGCCGTTGGTCAAACCCCTCAGTATCTTCAGCGCTCCAAAGCAATGGTCCGCATGAGCCAAGATCCCATGCCGCGAACGCAATCTCGTTGTTAAAGCAAACATGGGTGACTCTGGTCTCACGTTGGGAATGGGGGGGCATAATCGTGCAAAAACCCTAGCAGGCATCCCCCCATAGGAGAAATCTTTGTACGTAATCTGGCATCCCTTGCAAAGCTGCCCCCAGTCCGCTCCTGTGTCTGTGATGTAAGGTGCGCGCAGGCTAGACACACCCGCGTACGGATCGTCCCCAACACGAGGCATAAGCGGAGGAAGTGTTGACATATCGCATCCTGGTGCCTCCACGGGCGCTTTGAGGTAGCGTTCGAAGAGGCGGTTGAGCGTTCGCCCTTCTCTCGTCAGTTCGGGTAATAGCGCAGCCATGTTTTCAGCAGACCCATGAACTTCAATACCCAAGCTCTTGGCTGCCTTCACGCTGACCAGGCGAAAAGGGTCCCGGTGCGTTTTGTCGCGGGTCCGGAGGCAGTATGTCCCTGGGATGATGCGCATGATAGGGAGTGTCTGGACTTGTCGGTATGTCAAGGCGAAGAACCTTTTGGCCATCCGTATTGTTATCATCCATAGTCCTCTGTTTCGGTGAAGACACTCGAAGCAGACTCTCTCGCAAGTGGGCAGGTACAAAAATCCTCCAAAATGTGTGCAAGAAACGCAGCGATCGGTCCGTAGGGTGCGATACACCGCTGAAGACGGGTAGTGGCCAACGAGGCCTGCCTTTATCAACGCTGTTGGGACTGTCGGCGCATGTTTGATCACCTGCTGATACGGCACGAAATTTTCAACGACTCTCTTGGCTCTCAAGCAGGTGCGCGAGAGACGTGATAGCGACTGAAAGTCGAGAAGGTCAAGGGTGATGAGGAGTAGCTCTGCTGGTAAAGTGCCTAGCAGTTCGAAGCTCGATTCAGAGCGCTCTGGGTGCACCCTTGATAGCCTTGCCGGGATAATGTGATCAATGACTTTGCAGCGATCAGGCTCATTATTACGGGTGAGCTTCAGAATGACTTCATCGTCAGAGTGTGTATCCATGCTTGTTGTGCGCGTGTGCGTGATATGGGGAGTGAAATGTGTAGATGTAAGGTGACAGTCTGGCAAAATTGACAAGAAATGGTGCGGAACATTGGGAGACTTATCTTTGTTGAGGCTGTGCGTGTATTGCCTTCTAAAGCCTGAAGTTAATTCTGATTTTTCAGTGTGTTGGCTTGATATGTCTCGCTGAGATGCCATAAGCTTTCACCATCAATCAAATGACGCGGAACTGTCGCAAGGCCAGAGGGCGGAAGAGCTGAAAGCTTCAGCCCTAACGTAAAGTTCAACAACACAAACTAACACAAATGTGCAATGCTCTTATTGCCCTCATGGATGCCTATTTGACGTATAATGTGTTGGAATGGATTGCGTCTGATAGCTGCCCCCTCTGAGCTCACGGGCAGGTTCCTCTTCACTATGGTGCTACTGGCTAGCTTACGTCTCTAGAATATCGCTGATTTCATTAAAATCTATCTAAAACCTCGCATCCTCTCTGCTTTAGATATAAAATGCGGCTCAATTCATCCTCGATTCCCGTGGCTATCGTTCCCTGCCTTTCCCGGCCTAGCGCAATGAGAGTCGTGTATAGCCTCGGTTAATGGAAACTAAAGAGCCGGTGAGCAACGTCTTGGGTATATAGATTTCTTCACACATCCAGTTGCAACCTCAATGCTTCAAGCCTCTTCAATGTGTGACTTTTCATGCTACGACGGGGTAAGCCCCGAGTGGCTTGCCCTCGAAGCATCCTTACCTCCGCCACCAGTACCGGAATTGTCGACTGCGGAGATGAAAATAATAGCGAACCAAGAACGAGAAGCTGTCGCCGGAAAGTCGATGATAAAACTTGCGCCTCAACTACGGATACAGAACCACAGCATTTCTTCTCGCGATGGAAGCGTCATTCCAGCACGCAGCTACCGACCAGCCAGTGCGTCAGAACAAACCTTACTCCCATTGTATATTCACTTCCAGGGCGGTGGATTCATGTTCGGTACGCTGGATGCTGAGGGTGCGATATGTGCACGTATAGCTGTTGGATCGAATGCAGCGGTTTTGAATGTTGATTACAGACATACGCCGGAGTTCACGTATCCGACGCAATGGAATGATGCTGAGGATGCTTTCGAGTGGGCCCATGATAACATGGATATAATGTTCTGGGATCCGGAAAGAGTCATTATTGGCGGAATATCAGCTGGTGCCTGGATGGCTTCGTCTTTCACACTACAGAAACATTTGAATCGCGCAACAGAGAAAAGACCCCCGATAGCAGGACAAGTCCTCATGATACCCTGTCTAGCGCACGTTGATTGCTATGAGCCCCAGCTGAAAAAGATGAAGAGCGAGTCTATCTCATCTTACAGAACAAATGTTACCGCACCGATGCTCACCGTTGAGGAACTTCGCTGGTTCGCGAGTCTGCTAAAGATCGAGAACCCGGATGTCAATGATTTAAAGATTAACCCTGGGAATGCATCGCCAGAACAAGTTAGAGGGATGCCTCCTACTGTACTTGGTGTAGTAGGCCTGGATCCTCTTCGAGATGAGGCACTTCTGTATGGAAAGATGTTGGCAGAAGCTGGGTGAGTAGCTGATGTTATGGACCTTTTGTAGAATTCAACTGACATGATTCAGTGTTCCGACAGATGTCAACCTCTTCTTGGGGCTTCCTCATGGCTTTAGATCGCACGAGGAGAAATTATTGGCGTTCAATAGATGGGATAAAGTCATAGAGGATGGCGTTGGCTGGATTTTATCAGAACCTTTATGTAGTGAGTTCCACGTAAAGACATGAATTAAAGAAGAGGTTCGCTGCAATGCTCACTATGCAACGCCATTGTTATACCTCTATGTAGAATACACAGTCCACCAGTCGCTATGCAAACGCCATACAATGCACATACATCAACAGAGAAACCGATAGACCTTTTTCCACCTGGGCCAGCCATGTCGTTCTTCGCGCTCCTGCTCAGCCATAACATGCACACGAAAGTATCTCCGCCCCGTGACAACATCCATATCAGGTAGACGCACAATCTGCGTACGGTACCAAATCTTATGAGATAGATAGAACAACAAGATAATGGGTATCGCCAAAACCTTCAAGAAGAAATTCTGTGCAAGTCCCGATGCGCTCCTGTCAATACCAGGCTCATTAACAGGCGAGACCGCAATCCAAATCTGAGATGCCAACACAAGGATATACCCAACAAAAGCAAACCACGCTCCCGCGACGCCGACGTGAGACTTGAACGGTAGTTGTTCCAGCGTATGTGCGTTGTAATACCAAGCTTTTCGAAAACGGATGTAACATAAACAGATGCTTCCCCATGTAAACAAAGTGCTTAACGCACTGATTGACAGAAGCCAATTGAAGATGGAATCGTGGAAACTGACATCTGCGAGAAATGCGAGTAGACCGATGCATGATGCGAATATTATTGCCATAAGTGGCCGTCCTTGTCGATCCACGTACGCAAAGATCTGCGGCGCATGCGACTGTTCCGCTAAAGCAGCCAACGTTCTCGATGACCCAAAAACCGCTGAATTCCCAACACTGATCACCGCGACCAAGATGATTGCGTTCATTATACTCGGAAGTAAAGAAGTCCCAGCCTTCTCAATCGCAATGACAAACGGACTCGCCGTCGCATCAGCGACATTATCACCGCCGACAAGTCGTTTATCGTCAGAGGGGACTAACAACCCAACCAGCATTAGCGCAACGATGTAAAATATCGTGATACGCCAGAAAACCTGCTTAATCGCCGTCGGCAGCGATTTGCGCGGATTAGCTGTCTCGGCGGCGGCGAGACCGATGAGCTCTGTGCCCGTGAAGGAGAATGCAGATGTAACGAGGACGCTGCAAAAGCCCTTGAAGCCGTTGTTGAAGGGGCCTGGGTTACGCCAGTACATGCCGCCGATGTAACCGCTCTCGGGCTCCCCGCCGACATTTATGACAATGGCGAGTAATCTAGACTGTTAGAATTGGGATGACTGAAAGGGTGATTGACGTACATGAAGCCAACGATGGCGGTGATCTTGATGAGAGAAAAGATGAATTCAGCTTCTCCATACGTCCTGACGCTAAATAGGTTGATGATGACAATAGCGGAGAGAAATATGGCCACGAATATCGACTTTGTCAGATCTGGATTCCAGTACCCTATCGTAAACGCCCCAGCGATTATTTCCAGCGGTAGAATGAACAGCCATTGTAAGCAGTAGCTACAAAAGTCAGTAGAGAAAAACAGAAATTTGCAGTCAGCTTACTTCCAACCCATGGCGAACCCCCAAGACGGATCCAAGAACCTCGTCGAAAACGCCGAAAACGAGCCCGCGATGGGAAACATGACACACAACTCGCCAAGACATTGCATCGTACAATACTGCATTGCTCCCAGTAGTAGATACGATATTAACAAACTCGCTGGTCCGCCTCTGTAAAGCGACGCACCTGACGCGACGAACAACCCAGTCCCTACACCATATTAGCCGAGATTTGCCGAGCATGGAAGAGGTCAAGCTTACCAATTGCACCGCCAAAGGCAATCATTTGAAGATGGCGACCTTTCAATTCTCGCGCAAGTGCTGTGTTTGCTGTTTTGGCATTGGCGGCGCGCAAGTCGTAATACCGCTCTGGTGCATCGCTTGGGTGATAGCCTGGAAGAGGATCTGCGCGTCGAAAGCTATGCAGCCATGAGGTCCGTGGTTTATGAGCGTGTATGCTCCACGAGGAGCCCATTTCTACATTGAACGATTGCATTGTTTGCGCATCGCGAGGATCTTTCATCGTTTGTGTTGCGGGGGGAGAATGAAAGATGACAGTTTCGGGGGAGGGAATGACGTTACGACGGGGGTTGGACGCCGATCATGAAGAAAAGTCTTCAAAAGGGCGCGTTCTGGAAGGTTTCTAGAAGGACTTTTGGGATTATGCGCGGTTTACTTCGGGTGCAGATTGTCGGGACGTTGGGCCAATGATGGGGTGCGGGTGTGCCAAAAGAGGACTAACTGAACGCCAAAAATGCAGTCTGGCTTGTGAAGATCAGGAGAATTAAATGCGGCGCAGTGAGGAGAGTGAGGGAAAGAAAGATAAATGCGGTTGAGGCAGAGATGATCGAGGAGGGGGAGGCTACGCAACGTTTCACTCGAGTGGGATCAGCGAGATTCCACTTGGTTCGTGCACTGTTACTGGGTCAAGGTTATTGCCTCACTCTGTAACTCTCGTCAATTCTCATGCCATTCTGTACCTGGAAGGTCATTGACTAGACCTCGGGGAGCAAGAAAACTCAAGACCTTCATATAGAGTGCCAAAATAAACTCAGTAAAAGATATCCTAAACTTAGTGTAGATATGCTAAATTTATGTGAAGTTACCTACCTAAGTCTTTTTGTCATTTAGGATCAAGGTCTCGAGTTTTCTTTCCTCCCGTAGCTAGACACGTCGAGTCGTCCCCCGTGCTCGCTGCCCATGGGGAAGAGAGAATCTGGCAATATCCACACTGGGTCCGGGGATGGTCCTGGTCCGTGAAGCCATCGTGGTGGGCTATTACGTACAATAAATTGAATCTTACATGAGACGATGGAGTAATCACTGACAAGCCTTCAACGGTATCAACAAAGTAAATCGTAATTATTGTCATGTCTAAATATACATAATTATCGCATTCATTTATCCCTCGTCGGCTGCGCCCGCTGAACCTGTCTAGATCCTCCCGCGATAACAGCGGTCGGCGGTTGCTGATATGCAAAGTCATCACGGTCCATCTTCCCCGTCAATTCATCCCGTGTAATAAGCGAATCGTGACTCTGGGTCGGACTCACAGGTCTTTCACCCGACTTTCGCAAATCATCATCTTTAGAGATCGAGTCGCTTGTGTCATGTGACTTTGCCCAGATCCCCTCCGTCGTACGAACGTGATCCTCATCCTCCCACTGACTATGTGCCGTGCGGGTGAGTTTCGTAGGCTGCGATTGGGAACGCGAGTTGGAGTAGCCGGA